GCTCCTCAGTCTGCCCAAAAAACAAAAGCGGTAACTCTCATGTAAACCAGCAAGCAGTTTTGGACAATATTTTAAATTTAATTATACACAGGTTGACAAAAAAAAATTAAGTGTCACAACGAAACTATCAGGTTTAACAAAAATACTTTAAAATGGTACAGTAAGTGGTGTTTTCGGGAAGCCTTTATAAACGTTTTTTTTAATCTCTGGGATAATTCAGCCCGACGAGGGATACAAAGTTTTTAAAACGCTGCTGTTAGCTACGGAGCCACTCAGCTTTACAGGGTACCAGATGCCAAGAATCCTACAACCAAAGTTTTCTTTTTATAAAAAAAATAATTATTATTTAAGCTTTAAATCTCCAGAGAGCCTTAGTCAGAAATCATTACTTTTCCCCCCCCAATAAACAAAGCAAAAACAGAAAAGAGAGTTCCTTAAACGGTCGGATTCATTAAAAGCTCAGAACGTTATCCTTCTATCGTGTTTTAGTTCCAATCGTTAACTACTATCATTGATAGTACGGCCTGTATCTGGCCTGGTCGGGGTGATGCGGTCCCTGAAGGGGGGCTTGAGAAGGAGGACCTTGCATCCGCGGTGGTGGCGGTGGCCCCCTCGGAGCTGGCCACATGCCTGGGCTCATCCCCCCTGGCTGAGTGAACGGTGGGCTGAGAGTTCCTTGGTCTTCGTTGAATTTCGGCAGAGCGTTAGGGTTGTAATGGTGTGGAGGGGGAGCGTTGACATTCACCGGGGGACCGCCGTGCTGAGGCGGTGGCCCAGGCGGAGGGTGGTTCATGTAAGGGGGAAGCTGTCCAATTAGATGTCCGGGAGGCGGGGTGATAGGGGGAGGAGCGGAGGTCATCGGAGGGGGCGGGGCTTGGCTGTAAACCAAGTGAGGGGTACCGCCCCCCTGGGGAGGATGCTGCATGGGGTGGCTGATGGGAGGCGGAGGGGGAGGGGGAGGGGCATAGTGTTGCTGGGGCGGCATGATATGATGCGGGTGGGACACCACGGGCTGGGTCTGGTATTCGGGGTGATGGTGCGAAGGGGCCGGGGCAGGTGGGGGCGGTTCTCGGCCGCCGGAGCTGGAATCGTCCTGGATAGGCACAGTGATGAGATTGCTGTGCTTCCGGGTCGAGATGCGGAAAGTGTCTTGGTTGACAGGGCGAGGGGGAGGCGGCGCCATGGACATCTCGGCAGGGGAGGCCCGGATGTCGTCGTGGGGCTGGTTGTAATGCTCGTGGGGCACATGCTGGAGCGGCGGCGGGGGTGGCATCAGGATATGCTGTTTTGGCGGGAGGTGGCTCAGGTGATGCTTGTCGGGCGGCATGATGAACCGTTCCGGGATGTCAGCCGGAGGAGGAGCGATAGGAGGGTGGACGGGTTCCAGTGGAGGACGCGCCACTGGCTTGCCAGCTCTCATGTGTCTGTGGTTGATGTGAGCCTGCAGGTCTCTCTGAGACAAGTATGTTCTCTTGCACCCTTGCACAATGCTGCACATGAAGAGGGAGCCGCGGATGCACTGCTCGATTCGCTGGACCGGATCGTTACAGCTAGTTTGGAGAAAAGAAACGGGATTTAGACACACTGCCGTTACTCAAATCAAACCAGAAGTCACGGCACAGTCCTTGACTTAACGACTACAAGTGGGGATCAGAACTTCCATTGCTAAGCAACGCGGGCGTTGAGGAGTGCTCGATATTACGGCCTCCGTTTTGACTCTGTGCTCCATGTGGCCTTGCAAAGCTAATTGGCAATTAGGTCTTTGGCAGCGTTTCAGGGGAGAAAAAAGTAGATACTTATCAGCCTTATCCCAAAAGACTTTGGCAGACTTCCGTCGGACTCTTTACAAACTATTTGTGATTCATTACGAGCTGTGAATGAACATAATTCAGAGCTGTTGAAATAAAAAGTGGGTTTTTGCGACTAAGCATGTGCTTTTTACTGTCTCAGGAAGCCTAGGTCAGAACACTGGGAAAGTTGCAACTGGAGATCACCTGACCCCCCAGGATGCTGGGGAAAGTGCTCAAATCATGTGACTTGGGACGCTGTTACAGCTTACGTATGGGGAGCAATTTATTTTTGTCAGTGCCATTGTGACTTCAAACTGTGGCTAAATGAATGGTTGTAAGTCAAGGACTGCCTGTGTGCAACAGTTTCATTTAGTGACCCTTCAAAG